TGTGTGTGTGGGTGAGTGGGTGGGGGGGAGAGAGAGAGAGAGAGAGAGAGAGAGAGAGAGAGAGAGAGAGAGAGAGAGAGAGAGAGAGAGAGAAATGTGTTCTCTTTGGGCATAATAAGACCCATACACTGGCCCAGGGGAGTCCAAGTAAGTTAGGGGGGCAATCTCAGTGGTTAGGGCACCGGTTGTCAATGTGCATTGTGGTCTGAGGTTGCGGGTTTAAAACTCCGCTCCTCTGCGCAGTGACACTGGTGGGTGTTTACATAAGGCACTGTCACTTGCATACCCCCTTGCTTGGGCTGACGCCGGAAGTTATTATACTTGTTACAGACACTGCCTGCGCAGCACCCAAGGGTTCGTTCACGGTGTTGTCTGTTGGGTAAAGACTATGATTGGTTTCCTTGTTGTTCTTGGTACATGATTGTTCTGATAATTGTGCAGTTGTTTCCCTGTCTCATACAGCTCATCAACCACTGGCAGACTAGTTGTCACTGTAGCTAGGTAGGTTTGACGCTTTGAAGGGTTGAGGCGTTGAGCTGAGGATTGTATGGAAGAGGTTGACGGTTCGAAATTGGATCACATTGAACGAAGTGATATACAGAGTGTTGTTGTATATTAGCTCTGGACTAAGTTGAGGCTGGCACAGCAGTTAGTACCTTAATACGGACTTGTCAGGGTAACCGTACTGGCATGGGCTTTAGGTGCTGGATTTGGGGGGTCCGGTCGTGATTGATATAGCAGTTACCTTAGTGCAGACTTATCGGGGTACCAGAACGGGTACTGGTCCAGGGTCCAAAGTAGTGTGGCTGGCGTAGCTGTCACCCTGGCTAAGATTCTACAAGCCAACATAGGATCTTCAGCTCTCTGTTTCGTACTACAACTGGCCTAGTAACTAGGCTATCACTGGGATCATTTCAATTCATCTATCAAATTGAATTTGAATTAGAACATCAACTAAGCTATTAACTAGGGTTATTGATCGCCCTCTCGACTAGGCTATCAATTAGGCAGCTCTTTTAGGCTATCTACTAGGCTATCTGCTAGGCTATCAACTTGGCTATATTTTGGCTATCTACTAGGCTATCAACTTGGCTATATTTTGGCTATCTACTAGGCTATCAACTAGGCTATCTAGTAGGCTATCAACTTGGCTATCAACTAGGCTATCTTCGAGGCTATCTACTAGGCTATCAACTAGGCTATAATTTGGCTATCAACTAGGCTATCAACTAGGGGTATTGATCCCCCTCTCTACTAGGCTATCAATTAGGCAGCATTTTTAGGCTATCAACTAGGCTATAATTTGGCTATCTACTAGGCTACCAACTAGGCTATCTAGTAGGCTATCAACTAGGGTATCTTCGAGGCTATCAACTAGGCTATCAATTAGGCTATCAATTAGGAAATCTACTAGGCTATCAACTAGGCTATCAATTAGACTATCTGCTAGGCTATCAACTTATACGAACACAGTCCAAGCCGACCAATCACGATCTTAACTCTACTGCGCTAGATGGGAGTCACTGTGCACCCTCTTGAAGACCTGTAGTAGCATGTTCATACCTAGCTCCCGAAGTCCCCTAGCTCCCGAAGTCACCCTGTCAAGATGGTGATGGGTGATGGTCCTGGGTGGTTAACACTAGGGTAGGACAGGGGAGGTGGGGGTGCGCCAGGGCAAAAGATGAGAGGAAGGGTGGGTGGGGTCTTCAGAGGGGTTCATCTGGACAACCGAGTGGCCCATTACTGTGGGTGATTGCCATCTGTCTAGTACCCCACCTCTACAACAACAACCTGGGCTTTTATAAAAGAAAAAAAGAAAAAAAAAGAAGTTTGGGGGACAGTTACGGGTCTACTCATGGGACCTGTAGAAATAACAATGAGGGGGTCTACTCATGGGACCTTTTTTTTTTTAATAATTGCTCCAATCTATTCGTGGGGAGCATCACGTGCTGGGAACCTGCCCCAGCGTCCCTCATAATGGAAATACATTAATGATTGACAATTGATGAAAATTTAGGATGATTGAGGATCATTTTGGATGATTTAGGATGTCAGAGTGGGTGATTGAGGGGGTCTACTCATGGGACCTGGAACCTGCAGAAAGAACAATGAGGGGTCTACTCATGGGACCTGTAGAAAGAACGCTTATGCCTAACGGTAGCACTTCGAGTACTGGCAGGACAGGGCTAGTTTGACCATGGTTCAATCTAAGTTGTCCTTTCCACCCACTGAAACAGAAACCAGCCACTGGGAGATTGCTGTGAGCCTGTGAGACCCGTTTAAGGCTTCCCACTAGAGGACCGTGGAGTCCGGTGTGGACTCAGGCCATGAGGGATGGGTCTACATTGACGATGTCAACAAGGACAAGGAAAGTTAACTGAGAGGGTGGATATGAGAGAACCAGGGAGAGCTGGACTGGGAGGCACACCCCCTGGACACTTGGATCCCCCCAGAATTGATAGAGAAAAGAATCAAAGGGGACACCCTGCATCCCCTCCTGCCCGCCACCAAGTGTACCTTTCCCGACCCCCCAGGCTGTGAAAGGGATTCTGCTTGATGCAGAGCCACATGAACAAGTGTAAAAACAAGTCTGGGTACCAAAAGGGGGGCAATTGCAGCCGAAACCTCTTAGAGAACCAGGATCTTCACCTGAACAGTACCTGTGGGACCAATGGCAATTGCAGCCGAAACCTCTTAGAGAACCAGGATCTACACCTGAAGAGTACCTGAAGGAGAAGGGGGGGAAGAAGAGCCAGAAGAGCAATATCTAACCAGAAAGAATCAAGAAAGCAGGTAAGGTGAGCCACATGGTCAAGCACACAAGAAACTGGAAAAGGCAAATCCAGGAACAAACACCCATGCGAACCCGCCTATCGGAAGCAGGACAAGACTGTCACGCCAACTGGGCTGAAATAGAACCTTGTCAGGGGGGGAGACGGCCTGAGGGAGGGAGGGGGCGAGGGCGCTTCTACAACAATACAGGAAAAGGGGGGGAGGACCTGTCAAAATCTTTTTACTAGGGAATCCGATGCCTTTGGTCCGTGTCCAATGCATATTGATGCCCTGCCGTCCTTAGCGGTTCCCCCTCCCCTCGGATGTGATCATGACATTCAATGCTGTGGAGGTTCCGTAGAAGGAAAGAAAAAAAAAAAGAAAAAAAAAAGGGCTCTCAGCCTCATAT